ATTTTCATGAATTGAAATCGAAATAACCACATGTGACTTGTGACTCCTGCATTGGACAAAGCAACTCCGGAAACGCTGCAGAGAAACTGCTGATTGAAGTGGAGAGGGAGAGGCCCCCGCTGGGACGTGCACCCTGGGTTTTCTGTCCAGCAAAGAGAACTGAGTGTAGGCACCGTCCCAACCAGGGGACCCTCGGAGTTGGGACGCAGGGGACTGTCCAGCGCGAGGTTGGATGCAGAGCTGAGGACTCAAGAGAGCTCGATGTGAGGTGGTGTAAATCAGAGGAAGCAAAGAACTCTTGGGTCAATGTGAAAGTCGAGTCTCTGGCTGCACTGGTGTAAAAAGAGCCCCACTTCTATCACAACTCTGTACAAACTTGCCTGAGGTCTCCCCTCACCCTGACTGTGTCCTCGGAAAGACCCCCCTCCCCATAAGTGTGTGCTGTGGGACGGGGCTCCCTGAGGGTCCCTGCTGCTGCAGGAGTGGAGAGGCTGTGGTTCTGAAGTTGCACTTGATCCCGTCTCTTGCCTGGGAGTGAAGGGTGGGGTGGGGGGCAGTCGGGAACCAGAGGCCTCCCGGGGCACCTGCAGGATTAGATGAGGGGCGGCCAGGCGCCTTGGCCTCTAACAGGACCTTGATCTGGATGTTCCCGGCTCTGTCCTTGGAATTCCCTGCAGTCAACTTGAGTCATCCATTCATCTCCTAGGAAGGGCCGAGGCTGGGAGTGGACATGATGGCCTGGATGCTGCAAAATAGCAGATAAAATTTTAAAATATGTTTGCATTGGACTTTAGAAGGCAGCAGTTAGGGGCCAGGGCTCTGCTCTCAGCCAGGTCTGAGTTTCAGTCCAGACTCGGTCATTTACTAAGCTTGAGTAAGTCTTTCAGTCTCCCTGAGCCTCTGATGCTTCATCTGAAAAAGGGAACTTGTGGGTTGTTATGAGGATGAATTTAGACGACGTGAGTCACACTTAAAAGCTCTTGGTAAACGTGAAAGGACAGTGACAATGATTACAATTCCTCTCAGTTTTTAACTAGCTAACCAGGTTATCTCCACATTTCCTCTGGAGGTGTAGACAGATGAGTATGTCCTGAGCACGAGGCAGAAGGTTTTCTGGGTTTTTCCCTGGGGCCAGGGAGAGCCACAGAGACACTGG